TGCTTCTTGAATCACCTGTGTCCGTGTCCTGGGTCTGTGCCTTGGCCTGACTCTGGATGGAGCGGTTCTGACCTCTGCTGGCTGAGAGGTGAAGGGCAGCTGGGGGCTGCGGGCTGGCGGGCCCCCCCCCCCCCGCCCCCGGGGCCGGGAGAGTAGGGCGTGGTCCTGACCATTGGACAACGTGTAGGGAGTCAGGCCCCGGCTAGTCTCTCTCCGCCAAGACTTGGGCTTTCCTGGTTCAGGTTTCTTTCCCTTTTTCCCGCTGGCTCTTTACCATGCTCCTTTAAGCCCAGGAAAGAGGTGTGTGTAATTCTACCGAATTCCATCCCGGGGAAGGACCCACTGGCCCTGCCTTCTGCCTCCATCCAAGTGGCCCATCCAGGGTCCACTGACCCCGGAGACCAGGGGCTTGAGCCCGTGAGCAGAAGTCTCAGGCACCAGCTGGGGAAGGAGAGGCCAGGGCGCTGATGCTCAGAGAACCCCTCTGTCCCCACGCTCCCTTTGTTTCATCAGACCAACGGAGGGCTATGAACTAAAGTCTACGGGTTGATTTGGGCATTTTAGAAGGGAGAGCGTGATGGGTAACGAGGAAGAGCTGTCAGCATTTCAGGGTTTACCATACAGAGTCCGGGAACAGCAGGCCTCCCGCCTGAGGGGCGTTAGTTTACCTGCCTCATTTAATTTAACTTCTGCCAGCAGGTCTTGGCTATAGGGAACCAGGCCAGGACGTCCCAGACATCTTAATGAGCTAGAGGTGGCCACGTGTCTAGGCGCCACGGAGAGAGGATGCTGGTGAGGTCATCTCATAAGTCCTCAGGGTTTTATGCTTGGGCACCAGAGAAGCAGCATGGTGGAGGCATTCCTGAGCTGGGTTAGGATGTGGGCTCTGCTGTTTACTACTGTGTCATTTCACCTCCTTAAGCTCAGTCTCTTCACCTGCAAAATGGGGTAGCCACAGTGCTTGCTAATGGAATTGATTTGGTTGTAATTGAACTGCTGCCTGGAAGGAGTCTATAAATGTCAGCTGCTTGCATTTTGTTGTTTGAACTCGCACGGTGTGGAGAACGCTCAGCGTAGAGGTGGGAATCAGACTGGGGCCCTGGTCAGGCTGAGGCTTATAGTGGGGCGTCTCCTGCCCAGAGGGTCATTTTCCTCCCTCCGTCTCTAGACGTCATGGAGGTGGTGCTGATTTTCCTGTGCAGCCTGCTGGCCCCTGCAGTCCTGGCCAGTGGTAAGTACCCCTCGGGGACCTGGCTCTGACAGGAGAGCAGCCACAGCCCTTTCTGGGGCAACATCCTGGCCCTTTGGGTCACCAGGGTTGGGGGGCTCTCAGATTCTACGCGTCTAACCAGTTCCTCCACCTTTAGTCAGCAAAGAACATCCTGGAAGGCAGTGGCTATTCACAGACCCTCATCCAGCCTGCTCGTCTCCTCCCGCGGGCTCCAGCCCTGAAGCCCACTAGGGCCCTGTAGGCTTTTAACCTGAACTTTGGGAGCTAGACCTGCCTATCAGTCTCTAGATTGTGCAAGTCACGTGTCCTCCTTTGGTCTCAGTTAACACGCTTGCAACAAGAGGAAAATAGACCCTGTCTTTTGGGGATGACGTGAGATAAAAGGGGGCAGTAAATGTGGATGCTGTGAACACTGACCCTGGCAGGCAGGCCCATCCTTCCCGGCTACTCTGGGCATCTCCTCTTCATGGGTCCTGCTTCCTAGGAATCCCTCGGTGGGGAGTGAGGCGTGTGAGACGGTAAGATGTTTGGGAATCAGGGTGTGCAGCTGTCTTCCTCATCATCACGCGTGTTTGTTTTTCCAGCAGCTGAGCAGGAGAAAGAAAAGGACCCTTTTCATTATGGTGAGTGGTGATGACGACCCTGGGTGGGAGGGACAGACACACTGTCCCTGGCTCTTCCCTCTTCCGTCTTCTCACCCTTGTTCCTTTGGCAGACTATCAGACCCTGAGGATCGGGGGGTTGGTGTTCGCTGTGGTCCTCTTCTCCGTGGGGATCCTGCTTATCCTAAGTAAGTTTGTTTGCTCCTGTGTTTGCTCTGCATGGGCAGTGTCTGCCGCTGTGAAACAGGTGTGAGCGGTGCAAAAGCCTGGCTGCTCTCTTTCCTGGAGGGGAGGGAGTCTGTCCATTCTGGTTATCTCCGGCACCTAATACACTGCTGGGCACATAATAGGTGCTCAGTGAATCAGTGAAGAATGAACAAAATGAGTGCTCGGTGAAAACAGGCACAGATAAGAAGGGGCGGGGTGGCCATCCTGCTGCTGTGGGGCATCACAGGAGACAGGAGACGGGGGCTGTCCTTAGAGTGCCCCGAGGGATGTGCCCCCATGTTTGTCCACATCCCCCGCCTCCCACCATGGACCCCTCTGCTCTTGGTATCACCATCCAGAGTGCTGAAGGGTGAACCTTGGCCTCAGAAGGACCCTGCTCCAACCAAGGATTGCCATGTACAGCTCTGCAAGCTGTGTGCTACCCCGGAGAAGGGCTGCTGTTTACCCAGACTCAGCGCGGCCCTGCTGTGGCCACCCCGGGAGCATGACCTTGGATGGTTTTTTGCTTTTCAGGTCGCAGATGCAAGTGCAGTTTCAATCAGAAGCCACGGTAAGGATGCCATGGCTATGGACCTCTGGGGTGACACTAGGAGGGGACAGGGAGGGGTCCGTGGTGTGTGACCCCAAATGAATGTCCTTTTGAATTCTTGTCTCAGAAACAGGCCGTGTGTGTTGGGGTAGGGGTAGCAGTTTTGAGGATTGCAGGTAGCCCTTGGGAAAAGGAGAGGTCAAAGCATCAAGGTTTAGCCCTCCCTTCAATCTTCTGATGTAGGGGTGGGGGTGGGGTGGGGCAGGAACATGCTGGATCCTTGTCTGGAGGCCCTTGAGACAGCTGGGCTTGGGAGAAGGGAGGCAGAGGGCCTCAGGGCCTCTCTTGAGGTCCGTCCCCTCACTGCCCTGCTTGTCACCTACTCATGAGGCTCTTTGTGGAAACCTGGGCTCCCATTCATTCACCGTTCTACCCACACACAAGGGCACACCCCACTGGTCCACCGTGGTAACCCAGGCCAGCCCTGGACCTCAAAGTCCAAAGTCTGCGGCAAGACACAACCCAAGGCCCCAGGCGGCCGTAGGCCACCCCTCCCCAGTACTTAGCTCTCTCAGGGACCGACCTTGAAGGGTGCCCGTAAGTTCCCCTGACTCCATCCCCTTCGGCCCTGACCTCCCCGGGCCCCATGTGCCGCATGATGGAGAGAGATCCACCAGGACTCAGGAGACTGATGCCGGAGCCCTGCCCCAGCAGGGCAAGAGGGACGCTCTCTGGGTTTGCCCTGGAGACCTGATGGGCCTGCATCCTATTCTCTTGCAGGGCTCCAGGGGATGAGGAGGCCCAGGTGGAGAACCTTGTCACCGCAAATGGTAAGTGTTAGGACCGCCTGCCCAGGTGAGACAGAGGGAGTGGGCAAGGGTCCTTGTACAGCTCAGGGGTGGGTAGCCGACAGCTGCCAGGTGCTGTGGCCTCTTGAGAGCTGGCTGGCCAGACATGCTTCCATAGTTATGCCAGATAGGGGTCCCCAGGCGTCGGCTCTGCGTCACCTCCTCACCTCCACCAAACAGGCGGCTGCTCCTGACAGCTGCTGTTTATGGGGACTCTGCTTAGTGTCAGGCAGGATACAAGGTGCTTGACGTCTCATTTAAGATGTGAGCATGCAGTCCCATGAGACAGACGTCACTAACCACATCTTAGAACCAAGGGACTCAGAAAAGTGAAGGAAACTGCCAAGTCCTCTAACCAGCAAGTAGCAGGACAAGGATTTGCACTCAGGTCTGTCTGACTCGGAATCCACGTGAGTCACCTCCACCGTGCAGGTCAGGCTCCCCCAGAGACAGGCACAGGCAGGGCCGCCGCAGGGGGTGGCCTGCTGGGATGAGGGGTTCATCCACTACCATCCATTCTGGTTCTCTTTCCAGCAACAGAGCCCCAGAAAGCAGAGAACTGAAGTGCAGCCCTCAGGTGCAAAGGTAAGATGCTGCCTGTCTGCATCTGTTTGTCACCATCTGACTGAGGTCTGGCTGCAGAGCCAGCAGGGAAGAACTGGGGCAGCTTTTGCAACATGCACAGCTTTTATTATGAGCTGCGCTCTGAGGAGGCTCGTGTCTGAAAAGGGTGATGAGACAGACAGACTGAAACCTCCTTCAGGAAATAGGGCTTCCATTCAACCCAGTGGTCCAGGTAGCAGGGTGTCATCCTTTTCCCTAGAGTAACAAGGGAAAGTAATAACTTAATTGCTTTACAGTTTTCAAAATGCTGCCCCGTACACAAACTCACTCAAGCCTGCCAGGAGAAATAAGTAGGACAGGTGGGGTTTAGCCCCATTTTATAGATGAAAAAACTGAGGTCAGAGAGAATAGCCATAGAGATAGTAAGTAAGAGATGGAACTTGAACTCAGGGCTTTGTAGTTGGGTCTGGATTTGATCACACCCCGCTGCTCCTGTCTTCCTTTATGACATGTCCTGGAATATACTGGACTGTGAGGTTGGGGGAAATCAGTCTTCTTTCAGCTCACTTCTGCCTTTTTTTTTTTCATACAAATAAGGCATGATAGAGAGGTATATAACTTTCTCCTAAAAAAAGATTTCTGGGTGTAAAATGCCCGGTACACCAGCTCCGACTGTGATAGTAATAACACAGTATACTTGGGAGGCATCAGAATTCTTTCCTAACTGCTTTCTTGCCGCAACGACAGCCCCTTGGAGGTGCAGCATGGGCTCAGTACCTCCATCTTCTAGCTGGGCCTTGGGAACGTGGCCATAGAACCAATCCAGGGGGCACGTGTCCCAGCTGCAGCCCCGTGTTGTGTCCGAGCCGTGGCAGCCGGCAGCTCAGAATCTGGGGAGCAGTGTGCAGAGGCCCCCGTGACGGAGTCTCCAGCCAGCAGTTGTCTTTTTTTTTCCCCCTCACTAGAACTTCCTCAGAAACCCTGTTGTCTTGAGTCTCAGGGCTATGAGCAACTCTCGGGGTCATCCTGATATGGAAACCCCGAGTTTGACAGTTTCCTTTCTGTGTCCACCAGGTTCCACCCCCCTGAGAGAGCCCCTCCCCTGAGTCCCACCCTCTCCGCCCTCATCTTTCCCTGCTTCTCAGACTTACCCTCCTTGCTTTCCCGAGAAGTGGTCTCATCCTGGGAGCTTCCGCGGGCAGAGGGGCTTTCCGGGAGAGGAGCAAGTAAAGACTTTTGAAAGGAAGCCAGAATTTTGATTTAATTTAAATTCTCTCTCTCTTCAACCTCCAGAACCTGAAGGCAGCTGCTTGAACCTTTAGATGCAAATGCTGATGCTTAAGAAAAACCAGCCACTTCAGCAACAGATCTTTCCCTGGGAGAAGCCAAGAACTTGTGTGTTCCCCTGCCCTTTCCGCAGCCCCTCCAATGCCTGTCCTCAACTTAATGATGCAACACCGCCTCCCCTACCTGCAGCCTGTGGTCTCATCCACCTCCTGTGACGTGTTGTGTGTGTGTGCGTGCGTGCGTCTGATGACTGTGGTCTTTGTGGCTGCTTGTTCGTGGATGATGATGTGTTGTGGTGAACCTGGACTCACTTTCCTGGGCAGGAGCTGAGCCTTGTGGCCGTCAGCTCCTCCCTGCTCTCCGTGGCCCCATCCCCTCCCACTTCCACGAGCCTGCTTTTTCCCTGAGAGGCCAGTCCTTCTCTGGATGCAGGGATGGGTGCAGGGGTGGGGCACGGGCGGGAGTCTCCAGTTGTCCTGGGACTTGGGAGAGTTTACATCACGTTACAATCATCCTGCCTGGCCGCTCTTCACCCCTGTTACAAGCACCTTGCTTCCGTGGTCCTTCCTGGACCAAGTCTGTTCTGAGGTCTTTGGCAGTGGGAGGTTCCCAGAAAGAAGCTGGAAGCCCGTTTTGCCCTCAGGCGGCTACTCCCCTTCCCTGGTCCCCATCTGCCCCACCCCCCACTTACTCTGCCCCCGGGGAACATGTCCCTTGCCTGTCTTCTCAGCAATAACCCCTTGGGCTCTGGAACCCTACTCCCCACTCCAGCCTCCCCGGCTCCCGAGGCTCCCATCTACGGCCCAGCTCGCCTGGACTCAGACTCCCCGTCCCTGAATTGGGTCTCTGGCAGGAGATGACTGAGGGCTGCATTCAGGTGAGGCCAGTGCTCTGGGGAGGGGCGGCAGGGAGAGCAGGGGTCCTTTGCTTCTCTGTCCACGTCCCATTGGCCAGGCAGCAGCGGTGGCTCCTGGGCCCTGTGTTCTGCCCTTCGCTGGTCAGAATGGCGAGGGCAGCAGCCGTGCTGCGGGTTGGAGACCGGGCAGGGCTCCGCGCAGCCCTGCTGCGGACGGAACAGCAAGAGGTTGAAGGCCGTGAAGAGAGTGGAAGATGAGACCCCACCCCTCCCGCCCATCGTGTTCTCGTGAAAACTAACCAAACCCAGACCGTGCCGCCGTGACCAGGACTGCTGTCCTCTGTGTTGTGCCCTCCTCTCCACAATGACAAAAAGGAATAAAATACCACTTGTTTCCTAGTGGCTCTGAGGTGTTTTCCTTTCTGTGAAGGAACCCGATTATTTGAAGGGCCAAAGGGACCGTGTCCTTGGTCAGAGGGAGGGAGCGGTGGCTGCCGAGGCAGTCGGGCGGTGGTTATTTCAGCTGCTGGACCGCTTAGTTCCTCCGGGCTTCCCCTCCCTCCTCTGCCCCTCCCCTCCCATATCCACACCTCTCCTCCTCACCCCTTCCTCCTGCTTCCTCCCCAGGTCAAAGGGCTCAGGCTCCACCCCTAGGAGGACCTCTGCCTCCTAGTGTCCTGGAGAGAAGGGAGTCATGATGGCCTGACCCAAGGCTTGCTGGCCTGGAATGAAAGGTTCTAACTTGCCCCTTTGGTCAATTCTGGGGCCACTACCTAAGGACTTGACAAAGAGGAATGTGGTAGGTCACCTGGGTAATGACCAAAGCCCTTACCCCCTTTATCTTTCTCTAAACCCAAATACCCGCTTCTGCAAAGCTGTCTTGGCCTTCCGGTAGAATGAGTCCCTTCTCTGTGCTCCAGTCTCACTGGTTCCTGCCTTTATCTTCACGTTTAATGCTCTATTTCTTGGGTCCAAACTGTAGTGGTCAGGAGGATAATATCCCCTTTGTAGTGACACAATGGATGGGGCCTAGGGGCCTGGAGTCACCTAGAGTATCCTCCCAAAGACATTCCAATTCAGTTTTTTAAAAAGTACTATTGGCCGAACAAACAGCTGTGAGCTGGTTCCCTTGGCAGCCGCCCGTGTGTGGCCCCCACCCCTACATGTTCCGTGTCTTCATCATGAGACATAGTTCCTGGAGGGAAGGGCTATGTCTTGTTCTGACATAAGAATGTAAGGAACACCTTACAATCTCAAAAAATCTTCGTAGAGTCTGTCTAGATTCTGTGAGTTGTTTGGGACTGCAGAATCACGAGGCCCAGGTCCTGAGGAGTGCGGCAGGGAGGGGAGTGGTCCAGCCACTCTCTAGCCACCCCCAGGACATGCATGGTGCCTATCCTACTTCTGCTTGGACCCCCAGCTCCCCCAGGGCTTTGAAAAGACCAGGGCTTGTAGTTGAGATCAAGCTCAACATTGACAACCCAGAGATCACGGTGGTTAAAACATCTCCGGTCACGCTTAGACTTTGTGAATAAGCCAATGACCACCATTCATGGAACACTTCTGTGTCAGGGAAGATGGAGGCTTTGCAGCAATGTCAGAGAAAGGCCAGATAAAGATCCTTTGAGGCCCCAGGTGCACTAAAGTTGGTGGGTATCTCCTCATATTCATTATTAAAAATGAAACATAAAGAGTGAGGAAGTCCAATGAAGAGGTTCTGATTTTTCTCATAATAATTATATTAGCAACAGTTCTCATTTCTACCGCATCCTGGTATAGGTATGAAATTGTTATCTCTACTCTGCCGGAGTCTAAGCCCCCATCCTTTTCTCCACGTGGGAATCTAGCACAATCTCTGAGCTAGATACTCACAATTCACAGATTCTCTGATGAATTTGTGGCTGGTCTAGGGCCACACAGCTGGCCGAGGGAGCAGCCAGGAATTGAACCCAGGCTGTCTGTCTGCAAAGTGCTTTACAGCACCCCACGCAGCCTGGCCTCCTCTAGAAGGCTGATACCCAGGTGGAGGAGGAGGATCATCTGAACCGATGAGGCTACACCTGGAGCCTGGCCGTCCCTTCAGGACATGAACTAGCCGAGCTGTGCTCTGAGGCAGGTCCTGTGGGAGGTAAGTGGTCTGAAAACAACACACATAAGAAACAGGCAAAGAAGCAGACTGTCAAAATAATGATGAATGAATGCAGTTAACATTTACCAAGCACAAACTATGTACCAAACACTGGGCTGAGGACTTCGCATGTACCAACTCATTCAGGGCTCACAACCTTTCACAATGGCATCCCTAGCTTACAGATGAGGAGACTGAGGCTTGGTGGGACTTGCCTGAGTTTGCACTGCTGGTGGCAAAGCCAAGGTCTAGCTTAGACCTCTCCAGCTCCAAACCAGGGTGACTGTGCTGCAGAGGAGAGGACTCAGGCCCATCAGGTGAATGTGGGAGGGAGGCAACACTTGGCCGAGTGTGAGCGAGTCCTCGGTTCCCAAGCCATGATGTTCCAAAACTGGAGTGAGCTCCCCATCACTGGAAGTGTTCAAGGTGAGGGAGAATGACTGGTAGGTGGGATCCTCTAGGCAAGATGGACTCTGAGTCCAGCCCCAAATGGAGGACCCCCTCACGCCCCACCTCTTCTCCCTCTCTGGTTTAGACCGCAGGGCCAGAGAAGAAGAATCTAGAATCCAGGAATGAATTGCTGCTTAATGTGTGTCTACCTTCTGGAGCAGCACTCTGTGCAGGCAGGACTAGGTCTGTCCACTCAGCCTCTAGGCACGTGACATATTTGTGATCTGCTTGGAGTTTTTGTTGTTGGGGGTGAGGGGTGTAATTAGTATTTAGTTATTTATTTAAATGGAGGTACTGGGGATTGAACCCAGGACCTCGTGCATGCTAAGCACACACTCCACCACTGCGCTATACCTCCCCGCTGAACATAGCAAGTGTAACTTGGTTGAACAGGAAAGCTGTGGTGCTGTGCCATCTCCCAGAAGGGAATACTGAGTCCCCTGGTCTCAGAGATTTCAGGTGTCCTGCACATCTTACCTCCCAGCTACTCCCCTCCTGCCACTCCTCACCCCCCATGAATTCCACTGCAAAGATTTTTCAAGGCTATTTACATGGAACTGTTTGTGCTATTTGACACCAACAGAAAAATAGGTCAATCTGCCTTCTGGATCCCCCCGGGCTGTGGCCCTCCCCATCACTTTTTTTTTTTTTTTTTACAGGTTGTGGGACTGGAACTTGCCAAATTGTTCTTGGAAGAGAGTCAGAGGCAGAGTGCAAGCAGCAAGGTGGGGGTGGGTGGGTGAGGGGGACGCCAGGCTGGAGCACGCCTCAAGGTCACCGGGCCCCTTCTCCCCTTCCTCCAGGGAGGAGAGCTCTGCCCTCCCCAGGATCACAGGCTGGCAAGGGTGGCTGGCAGAGCCGGGGTGGGAGAGCCGTCCAGCTCTGTCTGGTTCACCCCACCTTGTCCCTGGCTGCTCTGCATCACCCTGGGCCCATAGAGAGAGAGAGAGAGATGGGGCGGGGGGAGATAGGTCAGATGTGTTTGCCTGAGCCAGTAGCGGAGCCTTGGAAATACCTGTCTCCAGGCCACCTCTCAGCATTAGTGTGATTAATTGCTGTCACAGCTAAACTCCAGGGGGCCAGAACCAACCAGCTCAAGCCAACCGACTGTTGATTTTACGGAGCCAGCCCCAGCGCTGTGCCTGGTTTCACAATAGTGGGGCACCTGCCAAGGCAGTGATGGCAAAGCAGGTGATGCTGCGATCCGGTGTCCTGAAGGACTTGGAGTGGTAGGGGCTGCCGGGGGGTGGGCCCCCTGCACCATCTAGAAGAGTGCGTTCCTGCCCTCCAGCTAGGCTTGGAGGTGATCTGGTGGAGCAGAAAGAGGCTCAGGGCATTGCCTTGTGTTCCTTCTAGCTGTGTGAGCAGGGGCAGACCCCAGAACCTGTGTCAGTTTCCTTCTCTGCAAAATGAAGTCCTTCCTAGCCTTCAGGTAAGCTGGGCTCCTGTGTAAACTGGGGAAGCCACTTAAGCCTTGGTTTCCTCTACTGTACAGTGGGTCTGTCAGTATCGTTCCTATTAACGCACAGCATCAAAATGATACAATGGACATAAAAACACTGAAATTTTTAATGTAGGTATTATCTTATTGTCAACTGAAAAAAAACCCCCACACATTCTGAAAGTTGAGAAAGAATTGTTTTATTCAGGGACACTGCTGCGGACTATAGCCTGGGAGACAGCCTCTCAGGTGGCTCTGAGGAACTGCTCCAAAGAGATAAGGGAGGAGCCAGGATATAGAGGAGTTTTTACTAGGGGGGAAGAAAAGCCCATGTAACTGAACTTGAAAAGATTACCACTAATCACACAAAAATACAAGCATCTCAAGTTAATGATTTTAGTGCCTTCCTGTGTATGGGGAGATGCAAGAGTCTGGGCTCTTTGAAATTATCTCTTTGATACGCATCTTAACTATCTAGGGCCAGTATCCTATTTTTCTCCACCCTGAATTCCCCTCGGGGTGCATGGTCACTGGCAGTGGCAGGTGGTTTGATGGTGGACAACGTTGGTTGTTTACCGGAATAGCAGGTAACATTCTTTGTTTGTTAAAATGACAGCAAGACTTCTTTTGTCCACATTAATGTTTATGTTACCATCCACTTCCTTATGTGCTCTTTCTTTGATAGCAGGATTCCCCTTCTGTCTTTTAGACCTGGGTTCAAGTTCTGGCTTGTCCAAATACCATTGGAGTTTTCCTCTTCTGTAAGATGAATATCACAAAACCTGCTAGGCTGAGTCTTTGGGAAGAACAAAGCAGATCAAAGAGACAAGGGCTCTCTAGAATTACTGAGAACCAGAAAATGGACAGAATTGTTACCAAGTCACCAGACTCACTGAAGACAGATGTTTAACAGACCCCATGATCTGCATCCCCGAAGAAGCCAGGATAGACTAGGCAGTCTGTGAAATAAATGGCAAAGGTGGTTACAAAGCCGAATGTGAACCGCTTGGGCCATGTCGGTGGAATCCAGAAGGTCACTGAGGGAGGGCAGGAGCAGCAGGGGGCGGGCTTGCTCCTGGAGGCCTTCTTGGAGGCGGTGAGCCTGGAGCTGCTTTTCAGAGATAAAACAGGGATGTGGTTACTGGAAGGAGAAGGACTGCAGCTGGAGAGAAACAGCCTCTGTTCTAGTTCAAGCCCAGATGTGAATTTTTAGAAAAATCAGGAATGCGTTTCTCTCCAGGGTATTCACTGTGGGAGAGGTAGGTCAAACGAGGTTGCCTTTGTACCTTCTGTAGAAACAGAAGAGGACGTCCCCATCTCCTGCCTGCTCAGGGAGCAGAAAGGCCTGGGTGACCTTGACTGAGTACATTGCCCTTTGGCAGCTCCCAGGACCTGTGTGCCCCATAGCTTGCACCATCCTGAAGGCAGCAATTAAGAAATGGACCCTCCAGGTCCCACCTCTTCCCAGCCCTGCCTTATAAGACCCCAGCAACCCTGCATCCGCAGCCATAGCAGGAGACAGGAGCCAGCGTTCCTTGGGGTTCAGGGACTCTGGGCAGCACAGAAGGGGCCTGAGAGCCACCCGCTTCCCTGCCGAGTGACCACGCATGCCACACAGCTGAGGACAGACCTGAGCCAGGAATCAGGGCTTTCTAGGGGCTTCTGGCTTCTCTCCAGCTGCAAGCCAACACCGGGAGGATTGACTGGGGACCTGGAGTCCAAGGCCATGCACTCTGCCACGCAGACTCCCATGCCCGGGGCTGGTGGAGCTGGAGGATCCTGTCTCAGGGAGGCTGGTGATGAGGGCCTTTGCCTCCAGCACCAGGCAGACAAAGCTCAGCGATGTCCCAGCCTGTTAGCCCCTTACCCCACTGGCCCAGCAATGACCATCCCAGACGGCTGCCCAAGACTGAGGAGTCAGGGAACAAAGGAGGGGAGACTGGAGCCGAGCAACTGAGGACATTGTCCCTTTGGCCGTGACAGCCCTGAAAGAGGGCTCTGGGAGTTGGGAGTACCTCTCCGTACCTCCCGAAGAGCTCCTTGGGTTCGGGGTCCTGGGGAAAACGGCAGAGTATCCTTCCATTTGGCTCCAGCCTGGTACAGTCAGTAAAAGGGAGTCTTTGGCCTGGAGCCTCTCTGGGACACAGAGTAGCCCCCCTGCCCCAGTAGGCCCCATGTTCCAGGGAGGACTAGAAGAACAAGAAATGGGGCCAGATGCCAGCAGGGAACAGGCACGCCACGTGGGGTGTCCGGGGAGGAAGCGAAGGTTGGGGACGCTATTTGGGTGGTAGGCCAGCAGAGACCATGCTGTGGAAAAGGCTCTCTGAGAACCTGCTTTAAAGATCACACCACTGGGGACTAAGCCCAGGGAAGGGACTACTGTGAGTGTCCTTGTCTCCTGGGAGGCCAGCTCGGGGTGACAGTGATGAAGTTGGCACTTACTAGGACCCTCTTGGCCAGGCATTCTACCTACATCATCTCTATTCCTGCAACAGCCCTGCAAGGTAGGTGCTATCATCCCACTTTACAGATGGGAGAAGGGGACTCGGAGAGGTGACCTTCCCCAGCCTCACACAATCCTTAAAGAAGAGTCAGGATGCCACAGGATTTAAGCCTGGAGGCATCTGCCGGCAGGGGGCCCCCTACCCTGCTCACAGAGATGCCTCAGGGGGAAAGGGATGGCCTGGGCTTCTCTCTGGGGGATCATGGGCCTCACTAGAAGAAAGTAGGGTGTCTCTGAGGGAGGGGCTTCTTGTCCCCAGTGTCAGCTAGGCTGATGACTTCAGTTAGGACTTGGGCGTGAGTGAGGGGAGAGAGGCAGGACTTCCTTGACTCTTAACATCTGCCTTCCCCCGAAAGGACAAATGAGCTTTCATGAAAATTGCTGCGCGGCTCCAGGTGAAATGCTGGAGTGGGGGAAGCAGAGGGGCAGGGATGTGGGACTCCCCAGGAAGCCCTCTGGTGAGCTGTCGGCAGGGTGTGGGGTGCTGGTCACCCACTGTCTCTCTGTGAAGACAGACTAGTTCTTGCTAATTACAGGGCAGGTGATTTCATGGGAAGAGGCTACATTAAGCAAGTTCTAGGTCTGCCTGTGCCTCTGGCAAAATTACTTCACCTGTGTAACTGATTTTTTTCATGTAACAAAACTGGAGGGCCACCAAGTGCCAGGCCTGGTTCTAGGCCCTGGGGATCTAGGAATGACCATAACAAACATCCTTGCTCTCCTGAAGCTTATATTTTAGTTGGGAGAGAAATGAGAAGCAAGATAAGTAATATACATGATTGATCAGATATAATAAGTGCTACCAAGAAAAAAATAAAGCTAAGAAGAGATTTGAAATGTTGCAGAGTGGGTGTGTACCTTTTAGGCTGGGAGGCAAGGAAAGGTCTTTGACGTCAGTCTATGAAGAAAGACCTGAGCAAGTTCAGCCAAAAAGTTCTCTGGAGGAAAAGTCTTTGGGAAGAGGAAACAGCCAGTGCAAAGGTCCTGAGGCAGGAGTGTGCCTAGAGGGTTAGAGGACCATTAAGGAGACCAGATGGCTGGAGTGGAGAGAAGGGATAGGGAAGTCATTGGAGACCAGGTCAGGCCAGTTGAAGAAGGGTTTCTAGAACACAGGAAAGGCTTATACTCAGCCCTCATAGTGTGTGAGCAGGAGAGTGAATCCTTTACAAAGTGAGGGGGTGTTGAGTGGGATAACCTGGGAGGTGCTTTCCAGTTAATGACACAGGGACTCCATTTGGGATGGAGATGCCTTTCTTCACAATATTAGTGTCTGGGAGTGTGTGTGTGTGTGTGTGTGTGTGAGAGAGAGAGAGAGAGGTGTGTGTGAGTGATAGGGGTCGTTCTGGCTGAGGTCTCTTCTTTTGGGATCTCTGATGTGTTTGGACCAGGCAACCTCTAAAGGTGAGATTTAGGAACATCTCCAGCTGCCCTACCTGGGGAAGTTCTGCTCGGAGGCTCGGGGCCATGAGTGTGCAGGTTTCCACTTGGGAATGTGGGTCGAGGCCTGGTCTGGTGAGCAGCTGGGCCCCTGGGCAGGTTGGTCCCTGCCTAGTGGGTGGTGGGGAGAGGAGAGAGGAGGCAGGGCTGCCTGCTGGGGGGTGGTCCCCCAGGACAGATCTCAGCAGCCAGACAGCCCCTTCCAGGCCTGCCTGTTTCCATTTCCAGAGAGTTTTCCAGCCCCAGGCAGCTCTCTGGGGGGTTCATTAGTCATCCCCTCAGGGCAGAATGTGTTGCTAAGGAGGGACAGAGTGGTGGGTGTCGTCTGACCAGAGCCAAGGGGCAGAGGCTGGAGCCAGACCAGCACCTCCCAGACCCTGCTTCTCAGTGTCCATGTTGGGGCTGCTGAGCAGGGTGGCCCACAAGGGACCAGAGGAAGATCCTGTGGTTCTAAGTGAACCACACAGAGGCTGCTTGTTGTGCAGCCTTACTGCAGACCCTGTCAGGGGCCCCTGTGGCCAGGGAACAGGGGCTGGGCTGAGCCAGTGTGAGTGGCTGCTCTGCCGCTCCTGCTTCCACTGCCGCCAGCTGGGAGTCAGACCCTTCACACATGCCTTTGCGCCAGAAGTGCTGTCTTCCGGCCACTCCCCTTGTGGCCCCGACCAGCAGCCCTCAGAGGCCTCATTAAACTGCTGGTGTCTCCAGCTGCTGAGGTGTCAGCCGCTTATGATCTCACAGCCTGAGGTAAAGCTCCAGGAGCTGAGTGAGGGGTCCCAGCCGAGGGAGAGCAGGTTACACGCCGGTGCCCCACCCCCAGCTGCTCCCCATCTTCACCTGCTAGCTGAATGACAGGGGGCTGCCGCTGGTGCCTCGGGCCCAGGGCTACGGCCTGAAAGCATTCCCATCCCACCCAGGGCAGCTTCTGAGGGGCTGCTGCTATTCTGCCCAGTCTTAGGGGACTCCTAGCTCCAGGACGGGCCCTGGGGGCAGGACACATCAGGGCCAAGGCCAGACTGGGCTGGAGGAATGAGGTGTAGCTGAGTGGAGGCTTGGGGGGGCGGAAGGGGCGCACGTGCCCGTGAGTGTCTCCCTTGGCTGCCACCGGCCCAGAGGCTCTGATTCCACTGGCTCTAGCCCTGGCCAGTGCCCTCCTGGCTTCTGGTGACCTTTGTAGGCACCTGGGCTGCATGGAGGCTGCTGGCCTTGGCATCTTTCCCCTGGGGCCAGGGGCCAGGGTCGGGGCTGCAGTTTGTCCACGGTGGCTCACAGCTTCTCCCTTCCTCGGGTACCCTTGGAGGTCAGAGAACCTACCTGGGCTCTCACGTGGTTCCTGGCTCCCTTGCCAGCCCCTCCTCCCTGCCTTTGTCTCTTTTTGCCTGTGGGTTTGGCTGGGCCGTGGAGGGAGGGCCACGCTTTCCATCCAGGCCCTCGGGAACCAGCACCCCACAACCTTCTCTTCCACGGAGGACACAGCCAGCAGCTCCTGCCATGGACAGGTGGTACCTGGGTGAGTCCCCTGAACCCCATCCCCTACCTTCTCAGACTCTGACACAGGTGTCCACTCCATCACTTTCAAGTACACCCCCAGCTCCCCAGAAGTGCAGGAAAAGCAGAAATGAGGAGAGGCAGGATTTCTAAACAAGGCGTCTCAATAGAGAGTCCCAAGCGAGCCGTCGTCCCTGCTTCCTGCATCTCTGAGCTGCAAGGGTTGGGAAGGCAACTTGTCCAACAGCTCCCTGTCTGTGTGTCAATCCGTCTGTCCTTCTGCAGGAACTCTGAAGCCAGGCTGCTCGGTTCAGAGCTTGGTTTCCCCACTTCCTAGCTGCCTGACCTCTGGCAAGTTGTTTAACTTCTCTGTGCCTCAGTTTCTTCATCTATAAAATGGGGATGATGATAATGCCTTCCTTGCCTCATAGAGTTGTTGTGATGATTAAATGAGTTAATTTTTGTAAAGTGCTTAGAACAGTGCCTTGCAGAGTTTACAAATGCAGCTGTTGACTTCTCTCACTTATTTCTCTTTTTATTTTCCTTCTATCTCTCTCTCTCTCTCTCTCTCTATCTATCTATCTATCTGTCTATCTATCTATCTATCTATCTAACTTTCCCCCTACTTTTATATTGCAGTGAGACTCCATGAGAGCTTACAAAAACAGACAAAATGTACTAAGATACCAAGATAACGTATAACCAGGGGACACCAGCGTCTGTGGAGAGCGGCGGGAGCTTTGGAAGCACAGCCTTGGGGGTTGGGTCTGGCTTTCTAGCCCTGGTTTTGTCACTGACTGGGTGTTTCAGGCAAGCCCCTCAACCTCCCAGGGCTGCCCAGCGGGACTGCCCTGGCCACCCCTAGGGGTCGTTCCCTTCGGGGGGCAAATGACCAGCTGAGTTTCTCTATCTATGGAATGGACAGCAGGACAGTGCATGCAGGAGTCTGACCTGTGCTCAACCCTGACCAGATGTTAGCTCTGTTGTGCTTTCGTAAGTATTTGTCAGTTGGCCCTGAAAGCAGAAGGGCTGAAGGGGCATCTCTGCTCCTGGGCAGCAGGGCTGCGCCATGTTTTTTCCAGCTCACCCCCGGGTTCATTTTCGCTGGAGGGTGGTTGGCTTTTGCGGGTTGAATAGCATGTAGCAGTCACAAAGACTGCATTTACTGTGTACCAGGCCCCCTGCCACATGCTTTACTTATGTACATTATCTCCCCTTCTCCTCACAACAACCCATTTTACAGAGGAGAAGACTGAGGCTCACAGAGGCTCAAGAGGCCATACACTTAGCAAGTTGAGGAGCCAGAAATGAACTCAAATCTTGATCCCCTGCCACTGCTCCAGGAGGGTTAGCAGATGGAGTTATTCCCTTTGGGAGCACTAAACCACCCTTGGTGGACCTTGACCTTGGGCCTCCGCCCTTCAGCTACAACTGAACACCAGCCTCTTCTGAGACCAATTCAGTTGACTAGAACTCAACCAGGATGTGAGCACCCATGGAGGACCCAGCGCCCGGGTCCCAGAGGTGAAGGGGGCCACAGTAGAGGCTGAGGAGGCCTCAGAGTTGTGGGAAAGCTCCTGACTCCGAAAGCTGGGAGCCTGCTGTCAGTCTCCACCTTACTGCTCACTGGCTGTGTGACCTTGGGCCAGGGCCCTACCCTCTCTGTGTCTCAGATGCCTCATCTGCAAAATGGGGAAATAATACAAAGCACAAGGAAATAACAGTAAGGAACGTGCTTTGCGAATCGTAAAAGCAAGGCATTCTCCCCGTGGTGGGGCTCGGCCCCTTCCCGGAGGAGCCTACGTGGGACACTGGCATGGGAGAAACTAGAAAGGGCCACTTCACGGCTGTAGAGGGAAAGTGCCAGGGGCTGCAGGGAGATGGGGATGAGTTAGGGATGACTGGAGACTTTCTGACTGAGGTGTGAGGGGCTAGATGTGGCCTGGATGGATAACAAAGAGAATAGAGCAAAGGGCATTCCAGGACATTTCAGACACACATGGACGTGTGACCGTTCGGTGGGGGTGGGGGGCTCAGGTGGGCTGTAAGGTGGGAGGAGGGCCAGGCTCCTTGGGACCGCCTTAGGGAAGCCTTGAGTGCCAGGCAAGGCACCTCAGCCAAAACAGTGATCTGGACAGAGGTGGGTGAGGTGGGCAGGGGCCGGGGCGGGGGCCCCTGTGGGACGTTGCCCCCCTGCTGTATGTACACAGAGTATACTGGGAAACTCTCACTTCCCCACTGTCGCAGCCCCGGCCGTGGCCCCTCCAGCTGGTGGAAGAACACCACACACATCAGTCGCTGGCGCTTCTCTTTGGAAATTTCCTTGGCAGGGGTTTGGAAAGCTGTCCAGCTCCCCCCGCCCCTCCCAGGCCTCGCACCTCCTCACGCCTCAGCGGGAGCCCCACCGTCCACACCAAGGTTTTTCTTGTGACCAGGGTAAATATTACCTGGCACTGTTAATGTTTAATGCCCCCACCTCACCCTGGCCACCCCACCACCGGGCACTCTCCCTGAAGCGAAGGCAGTGGGAAGAGGGCAGCGGGGAGAGGCCAGTCTGCTGGGGACATGGCAGGGTTGTCGACAGATGACGGTGAGTGTGTGTGTGTTTGGCCTCTGTGGGACCCCTTTGCAGGACGATCTGGACCCCACTCTTTTGTCTCCTGGCACCCTTGCCTTCCAGGGTACCTGGCACCCCTTCCTCACCCCATGCCAGCTTCCTCTCTAAGAAAACTTGCTTTTAAAAGAGGATCCCACCTTAGCGCCAAAGAAATACAGCCGAATGGCAGAACCTCAGGCGCCAAGTAGGAGCTGGTGGAGCGCGGGGGTGAGCTTCTATCTTGACTTGCCTGCTTCAGTGCATCTTCTGGACTGTCTAAGCTCAGAGCAGGAGGTGGACAGGGCTCAGGCTGGGGAAGGAGCGGGCCCCTCTGGTCAGGCTGGCTTTGCGGGATAGCCCCCCACAAGCTCAGGACACGCTCCCTGAAGGCGCCCTGCGAAGGAGGGCGGTCAGGCCCAGAGCCCAGCAGGGCCCCTGTTGATGGCGGTCTTCGAGCCAGATCTAGAAAAGGTGAGGGCTTGGGGTGGGGACAGTCTCTTCCAATGAACACCTCCAGACAAGGCGATCAGGGAGGAGGCAGTTTCCTGGTGTGATCACGGCTCTGACACTAATGCCCCATTTGACCCTGAACAAGAACTGAACTGAAGCCGGGAAGACAACCTTGGAGGCCTTCCACATGGGGACGGGTGCCTGGGTCCCCCACAGCCTCCCCTTGGCCTTGGGCCCTCTAGGCCTCGGAGTTGCGCCGCCTCAGCCTGTTTTCTCCGGGCCGAGGAAGCAGGCCGTCAGGACAGCTGGGCTCACCAGGCCCCGAGGCCTCCCACCACCCAGGGCGCAGTTCAGCACGGCCTGGGAGGTGCCGACTGGTGCATTCCTTTGACCTTGGGCCCTGCTTCCCTAGTGCCAAGAAGAGGCTCAAACAGGGCAGGGAAGAGGGGTCACTCCCAGCCTCAGCAGAAAAGCTCAGGCCAGGTGCTCTCCAGCTGCCCAGCGGCAGGTGTGCGCAGTTTACAGGACTGGAGGGCAGAGCCATGACATCCGCTGGGGGCTGGGCCGCTCCACGTCAGGGTGGGAATCGCTGCGGGAGGCAGGAGATGGGACCAGACCACTTGGCCTTGAAGTGTCTCCCTTCTCCCAACCATGTGAGAGGCACATAGATTCTTAACACCCAGTTGCCTGGGTTCAAAATTCCAGCCGTACCCTTTCCTAGCTGTGTGGCTGTAGGTGAGTGGCTTAACCCCGCTCTGCCTGCATTGTCTCATGGATCATATTGGAACAATATTGATGCCTCACAGGGTTGTTATGATGGTTAAATGAGCTACTGCTTTGTTAGCCTTGGCCTGGCACAGGGTAAGCACAATATATTAATGGTCCTTAAATAAATTTGCTTCCCCCTGAGGATAGCAACACAGGAGAGAAGAATCTAGAAACATGGGTTCAAGACTCAACTTTCACTGGGAATTTAGACAAGTCTTCAAACTGGGCCTCAGTTTCCTCCTTCTGTTCAGTGAACATTACAGTTCTATTTATTGATTCATTCATTCATTTCACAAATATTTTTAAGTACCTTGTAGGTGATTAGTCATATGGAGAGAGGTGCTCAGCGAGCCTTACGGGAGATGACTCTGTTGGCCTTTTCTTATTTTTTTTTAATTTTATTGAAGTGTAGTTGATTTACAATGTTAGTGTCAGGTGTACAGCAAAGTGGCTCAGTTATACACATACGTATATATTTTCTTTTCAGATTCTTTTCCGTCATATGTTATTACAAGTTCCTGAATATAGTTCCCTGTGCTGTGCAGTAGGTCCGTGTTGTTTATCTGTTTTATATGTAGTCATGTGTGTCTGTTAATCCCCAACCTCTAATTTATCCCTCCCTGACCTTTCCCCTTTGGTAACCATAGTTTGTTTTCAGTGTCTGTAAGTCTGTTTTAGGTTTGTAAATAGAATTTGTCTTTTTTTTTTAGATTCCACGTATAAGTGATATATGATATTTGTCTTTCTCCTTCTGACTTCACCCAATATGATCATCTTTAGGTCCATCCATATTGCTGCAAATGGGGCCTTTTCTTACTTTTGCATGAAGCAAGGACAGGAAGGAACTAGCTCCTTCCAGAGTCACTGGAGGCCCCCACAGGCAGCATGGGTCCCTGCTTTGGATGCACAGTGTCGGGTCCCCAGCGGACTCTTAGGAGCTGTCAAGGGCAGATGCCCCCCGACTCCAGCAGTGCAGTTAGCAGAACCACCAGCATTCCCTCCTGGGATCTTTCTCCACTGGCCTCTCCTGGCCCACTTGGACCCTTGGTGGGGCTGGGGTGGGAAGGATGGGAGTTGTCCTGTTTCTGTGGCTGCCACACACCCCCATCTGTGACTCGCCCCTCACCCACCTCTGGGTCTCTTCTCAGGTGGCAGCTCCAGTGGGGACGTGGACCCATTCTACTACGGTAAGCCTGGTGGGCCCTCCTCCCCACCTTTCCTGAGTGCCCTCCAGGTGTCCCCGGTTTCTGGCCCCTCCCAGCCCTGTGTTAGGTGCCCCTATCTTCTCCAGTCACTGTGGAGCTGCTGCTGGGTGGGCTGCCAGCAAGGGTGCTGGGGTCACCCGCCCCATCTCCTTGCCATCCCCCTTCTCAGACTATGAATCCGTTCGCAACGGGGGCTTGATCTTCGCTGCCCTGGCCTTCATCGTGGGGCTCATCATCATCCTCAGTAAGTGGGGCCTTTGGGAAGGGGGTGTGGGGGGCACATCTCTTCTCAGAGCCATGAGCACACTGGCTTCCCAGGGGAGGGTGGGGAGAGCCCCCCTCCAGATCCTGAAAGAAGGGAGTGAGTCTCCTGGCTCCCCTCCTCGCTCCCTAGAAGGATGTGGGAACTGATGGACACCCGGATGGAGAGAGGGGTCTTGGACCTCTCCCTGCTTGGTCCTTAGACCACCCAGAGGAAGTTCCCTCGTCCTCAAGTGCACCCTCTAGTGGACACAGGGGAGCTGCAGAGATGGGAGAGCTGGTTCCCACAGGCCCTGCAAAGATCCAGGGTCCATGTGGGCCAGGGGAAGAGAGGGAACCAGCCTCTACTGGACACCTCTGTCCCCAAATCTGGACACTGTCTTGGCTTGAGCTACATCTCGGCCCATTTAATCCTTTTGGCAACACTGAGGGATGTCCACCACTGTCACCATTTTCTAGATGAAAAACCAGACCCACCCTGACAGGTGCAGCCACTTGCCTAACATTCTGCAGCCAGTCAGGAGAGTGGGTTCAGTTGTACCTGGAGGTGTCTGCCCCTCCCGCCTGCTGCCGGAAGGCAATGGTGCCTGAGAGCCAGAGGCCTTAGGCCCCCTCTGAGTTTACTATGGAGCCTCTATTCCTTGGTTTGCTTATTTGTTCAATGGGGAGGATCCCACTTGCCGCATAAAATTAGGGCTGGCAGCCAAGAAGGCAGGCACGGGGTGTCTGGGGGAGAAAAGTGTCCCTGCCTCATCCCCTGCCCCAGTGGGCATACAGCAGGAATTTAATAAACACTCGTGGACTTGTTTTGGTGCAATCAGAATTAAAATACACAGAAACACACCAGTGAAAAGAAGACACAGAATATAGCAAACACAGCTCTGGGTCCTGGGATTCTAATACATCCATGAGTAGTGCCACTTGGGCCTGCAGGCGTGGCCAGTCTCCCCGATTCACGTGGAGGCTCCCCGAGGGCAGCACTGTGTAGCGGTTGAGCACACAGGTGCGGGAGGCAGGCGGGTGTGAGCAGGGATATTGGCCCTGGACTTCCTGCCATTCTTCTTCAAGAGCTTATTGAGCGATTTCTCCAGGCCCAGCACCGTGCAGGGGGCACCACGGTGGGCCAGGCTCAATCACCAGTCTCAGTGTGCTCACCGTCCTCCACGGAGCCACTGCAGTAAATGCTTGTTGATTGGCCAATTGACTGACTTGGGCTCCTGCATGCTTATGATTCAGCTCCACATAAAAAGAGAGACAGTCTTCTGGGGCCTCCAAGTGGGACACCGTGTGTGGTGCCGGCAGGAGGGAGGAGAGACAACAGAGCTGAGTCCTCCGGGGTGGAGATGGTCTCCTTGCATGCTAACCTCCTTTCTCTCTTTAAGGCAAACGGTTCCGCTGCGGGGGCAAGAAGAGACACCGGTAGGTGCCTGACTGGGTGGGATGGAGGTGGGCGGGGTCAGGGAAGGAGGGGTGGGGCTAGGAGTTTGGTGTTTGAGACCCTGTGAGGAGGGTCCTCAACCTCAGGATGCCTGGACTCACTGCCTCCCCATTGCCCTCTTGTCTCCTCTCCTCCATCCCAGGCCAGTCAATGAAGATGAGCTGTAATGAGAGGTAGGTTTGCGTGGGGCGGGCGAAGAGGGCAGCCTGGATGGCTGCGGGATAATAAGGAAGAGCTGGGACTGGGCCTCGGCCCGGAAGGATTTTAGGGTCTTCCATCTGTCAGCCAGGCATCTGTCATCTTCATGTGTTTGTTTCGTTTCGTTTCGTTTTGTTTTATATATTTACCTTCATGTGTTTTTAAATGATGGCCGAGTGCCTGGCGTGGTGTGTGTAGCCAACGGTGGCTGCAGAGATGTGCTGGAGAAAGGAATAAGGAACCAAATGAGAGTCCCTGCCTCTGCCCCCTCACAGCCCCAACCATGCCTTTGTCTTTCCAGAGTCAGCTGTGCCCCCCTTCACACCAGGGCCTCTGGGGAATCCTCCTCTGAGCTGTAGACCTTTGTCCCCCGCGCTGCCAGGCCCTCGGGCTGAAGGAAGCTCCGGTCTCCATGTGACCCCTGGGTGGGCACCTCCCACCCTGTGCTAATAATAAAGCCCAGCCTCAGAGGTGGCTCCTTCCCTGGCCTGCCTCCCTCCCTCCTCCTCGCCTGTAACTGCTGCCGCCCACCCCTCCAAGTTGGAGGACATACCGCCTGGTCTCTTGTTGCTCAGTTGTTTGCTCAGGTGCCCATCATCAAAGCCAGACATTCAATATCATCATCTGTAGGCCTCTCCTAGCCCCGGAACTGCTTTCCAAATGCCACTTAAAGAGAAAGCCGGGAAGGCTGAAGGTTGCAGGTTCAGAGCTGTTGGTCTGCCGGAGCTGCTCGGGCATCTGTCCGCCCCAGGCCTCGGTGGCGCTGCTGGAGCTGTCCACTGGGAGTGGCTGGCTGGGTGGGTCTGGGGTCTCAGCACATGCTCTCTCCCTATCCCCATCCTGACCCTGCTGCTAAGCTCTGGCCACCCCCTTTCAACTCTTGGGGCAGGGGACCTCAGCTGGACCTACTCCTGTCCACCTATTTAGGTGCTGGCTTGGTTCATCCCAGCACCAGGGGCCAGAGAGTGGACAGTGAGGGCAGGGCCTTTGTGAAAGGTTCCTCCAGCCCCTTCCTGACCCCACCCCCATCCCGACAGTCAGCCCCCCAAGGGCTACTTCAGCCCTCCTACAGTGCCTGCCCTCTCGTGGCCCCCTGGCAGCACTGCACGCTCCCTTCGTGCAGTTCCTGTTTCTGGAAGGAGCACATCTTCCCTCCTGCTTCCCTGACAAGACCTCTGGAGGCTGGATGGGATGGTGGGATCACAGCACCACCTAGTGTCCAGTTTCCTCATCTGGGTCTGCAAGCATCCGAGGGAAGGAGGGGGAACTGGCAGGAGAACCCAAAAGAGCAGCAAGTTAGGGGAGTGTAGATTGAACAGGGAGGGCATGTTTGGGAACCAGAGGCAGAGTAGGCATCATTCTGCTTGAGAATTGAGCTCTCTGTCTTAATCCACTGCTCCCAGGCCCTGAAGACCATCAACCCTCATGGAATCATGGAAGACTTGAGCACCAAAGTTCCTTAGAGAGTAAAATAGACAATTCTCAATTTCAAAAAGAGAAACTGAGGTCCTGACTCAGGTAGTGACTTGTCCAGGTGACACAGCCAGCCTGTGTCGGAGCCAGAGCTACAACCCAGGTCTCTGGCTCCCATTCCAGGGTCCTTCTCACAGGCCCCGTGGGGTTAGGGGGAGCTGCTCCAGGGAGACACAGAGGGGAAAGCCTGGCTCCTACAACTCAGGGCCAAGGTCTTTGTGGCACCCTGCTCCAAAGGTGGGCTCACCAACGACAAATAAAACCTGAAGGCCAAACTCCTAAATAAAATTCAGTGTTTCCAGACACAAGACAGGGGCACACTGGAGCCGTCCACAGTGGTGGGAGAAATGAACAGGAATGGGGCAAGTCCAGCCAGGGGGGATTTTGGGAATGGGGTGGCTCCTGAAGTTTCCTGGATGTTGAGCAAGGCAAACAGGAAGAGGGGTATTCCAGGCCTGTGGCCCACCTGGGGAGAAGTAAGACCGTGGGCCGGAATGCTGTTTCTAGAATGTTCCATACACAGGCCCTGAGCCTACCAACCCAGAGGGGAATTCCAGCTGCTCCGAGGGAATGGTCCTGGGTTAGTCACTTCCGCCTTTGCCCCTGCGTCAATGTGAGGCCCCACTGGGTCCCAGGCTATCACCTTGGAGAACCTGGGGTGCTGTTCAAACCACCAGCTATCCAGCGTCCCCTCCAGAACTGCTGAATACTAATCTTGGGGTGGTTGCATGCAAGCTGATGCTTAACCAGCTCTCAGGAGAGCAGCCAGTGCTGAGAACCGCGGATCCAGGTGACATTCAGAGCCCTCATGAACAATTTCCCTTCCCTCTCCGTGAAGGTCACATGGACTGGAGCTACTGAACTTTTGCTTCATTTGGGGATTTTCCACGATTCAAACGCAAATTTAGTCACGAATAACAACCAAGCCTGGGAAGTGGTTGGGCGAAGTACCTTTCTTCACACGACAGCAACAAGAACAGCCCGTTTGAGGGGGTGAAATTCCATTTGTCACCACCAGAGGGAGCACGCATCTTACGCCAAATCCCTTTACGTGTGTTTTCAACTCAGTCTTCCTAAGGGCTGGGGTGGGGGGGCCTTTGCTGGGAGGAGGGGCCGCTCAGTCTGCCAGGTGCCTTGGTTCTGGGAAAGCCCTGAGCACTTCTTATTCCGTTTGCACACCCTTCAGGTGTGTCACTTGCCCTGCTGGGGTGGGGGAGGGTAATCCTTGGCTGTGGGGTCTTGAGCCTTCACTCCCTCTGGAAGGCAGAGCTCAAAAGTGACTTGCACATCTTTCCCAGCTTGGGGTAATCATAAAGTCCCCACCGCATGGTTTGAGTTAATCAGCGTCCTGAGCAGGACCTGGAGAGAGGCGGGCAAGGAGGGTGCGTCCCCAGGAACCCACCCTCACTGTCCTAACCTCGTCAGAGGCAGTGGGTTCCCTGACGGGGAGGTGCTGAGCTGAAGAGGGGCCCAGGGTGGAGGGGGATGTTGACTCTTCCCCCAGCCCTCCTCCCACTCCCCCTCCACCCCTGCTGGAGAGATTAATGGCCTCCCTGTTGATCCGTGGCCCCAGGCAGCTGAGCTCTGAACTGCAGTTCAGCAGGGCCTCTGGGGCTGCCGTGACCTGCTCCTTGCCAGGCACCCATTCTTCATCGCCCTCCTGACAGACACCGGGCCAGGGGAGACCAGAGGCCAGTGCCATGGCTGCCCGGCCTTGTTCTGTCCTCGCAGTGAGTCTCTGGCTCGGAAGATGGATCGGGCCCGGGCCTTGGAGTCAGGGCCACAGCAGCCTCCATCAAGGGCCTTGGGGAGCCCCGGGGCTGGGCTGGGAGGCTAGGGTGGCACCCAAGTGACCCA